ATAAGAATCCAGCCTCCTCCAAGGGTTTCTCTGCGCTCGATCCAAGCACCGAGGAGCCCGAGATCGATCCTCGGCAACAAGAATGGTAGAGGGAAGAAGAAGAAGAAGGGGGAGAGAATCGTACGAGGCGCCTCGAATTAGGGTTCCTAAGGACGGCCGACGACGCCATCGATTTTAGGGTTTTAGAATGAATTTTTATGGGTTTTTTTCGAGCAGGGAGCTGAAGCGACGGGGATGAGCGGCGGGGGGGGGGGTAGGGTTTTGCTGTTCGGGTCAGAGCCGGGTCGAGATCCTGTCCAGACCCGATCGGAAATGTTTCTTAGCATCCCTGTTTTTAAATCTGACGTGACTTTGACATTACGGGTGCAAAATGGTCCGGATATCCGCAACTGTACCTGAAACTGATACGGATACGGCACCTAAATTTTGAAAATACTCGGATATGGACATGGTTCCGGATACAATTTCCGTTTTTTTTTTTTTTAGTCCGGATATAATTTTTGATCATCTTGACAAAAATTGCATGCGCTTTCGGATGTGGTCATATGTTTTTGGTTTGTTGGATCATGTTTTTTATTGGAGTGATCAATTGTAAATCTTAGATTTATTTATAGTTAAATTTATGTTAGGACAAATTTTGAAAATCGACTTTTTTTAAAATTTAATAGGCAAAATCGACCGTATAACAATAAAATGAGCAAAATCGACCCTTTTTTGCACGGGACTGCTAGTCCCGTGCAAAAAAGGTCGCTTCCGCAAAAAAAATTCTCCGGTCCTCAACCCATCCCCTCATTCCCTCTCTCTCTCTCTCCTTCATTAACCCATCCCCTCTCCATCTCTCTCTCCCTCTCCTCCAATCCCACACCAAAAAAAAGACGATCCTGCTAAAAAAATCAAAATCAACCCTCCTCCCCCAAATCCCCCCAACACTCTCCTCCCAAATCCCCCTGCACTGCTGCACCACCAGCACCGACACCTTCACTGGACAGCGGGGGAGGGCTTGGGTGGTGGCGCGGCTCGACGTGGCGGCGGGTGGTAGCATGGTCGGGGCTGAGGGGAACGGAGGACAGCGGCGGCGGCGAGCTGGCGGAGGAGGTGGAGTTGAGCTCACGGCGGCGTCGGGGCTGATGGTGGTGGAGATGATGAGGAGGCGGTGGAGAAGGGGATTGGAGGGAGAGGGGGGCTCGGGTCGGAGCTTGGGCTCAGGGAGGTGGTCGGGTGTAGGTCGAGGAGGTGGGCGCGGCTTGGGCGGCCCGATGGCGATGGAGGAGGGGCGTTTGGGGAATGGAGGAGAGAGAGAAGGGGTGATGGGTTGCTGTTGGGTTTGAGGGAGAGGGAGGAGAGATGGAGAGAGGGAACGGAGATGAGAGAGGGGTCTGGTGTGGTATTGGAGGACCGGAGAATTTTTTTTGCAGAGAGAGAGGGAACGGAGATGAGGGATGGGTTAATGAAGGGAAGAGAGAAAGGAGGGAATGAGGGGATGGGTTGAGGACCGGAGAATTTTTTTTGCGGAAGCGACCTTTTTTGCACGGGACTAGCAGTCCCGTGCAAAAAAGGGTCGATTTTGCTCATTTTATTATTACACGGTCGATTTTGCCTATTAAATTTTCAAAAAAGTCGATTTTCAAAATTTGTCCTTTATGTTATGGTATGATTTGATTTACTTTTTCATCGACGAACACAATAAAATGTGAGCTCTGAAAGAAAATTTCGCGGCATTTTGTATTTTAATTCTTGCCTTGTACCTTTTTTGTAACCAACTACATGCAATTCTTGGTTTTGTGAGGTTTGGTCAGGTTAGTGTGGTTGAAATTTTGTGAGGTTTTACCGTTTGAAATAACTTTTTCTTAACTTGTACTTTTATTGTCCAATTAAAATAATATTTTTTGTTATATTCGATTAGTATCCGAGTCGGCTTCCCAAATATCTAATTTTTATCGGTGACTATATCCTTATCCACTTTTCTAATATCCAAAACATGTATGTTTTTGTTCAATGTGGTTATGATTATGACTTTTCTTACCGAGAATATTTGTATCCGTATCCATTTTTAGAAAGCGAATATAAATATAGTATGTGTTACATCCAAACTGTAAGCGAACCAAGGGGGTGTTTGTTTGCATGCAAGTGAAAGATGAAAATGAGAAAGTTACTTTCATTTAACAATTAAGGTGTTTGTTTTCATGTAAGTGGTTATAAAAGTGAGATGTAAGAAAGTTGCCACATATGATTTAATGTAATTTTGACTTCCCTAAAAAAGTGGTGAAGTCACATGAAAGTGACAAAAATGTAACTAATTTAATTAAATAATTTTAATTATACTTTCTAATTAATCATATTTTACCACGTCATCTTCACATTGCACTTTCGATAATAATTTAATTTTTCAAACAAACATTGTATTTCACTTGCGTGCTGACATGAATGTAAAAGTCATTTGCAAAAAAAAGTAACTTATATATTTTAAATTCACTTTCAGATTGCCAAACACCCCCAAATGTAACTTACTCGATATGCCTTGGTTGAAGTAGCTAATCAGGGATATAAGACAAAATAAGAAGGATGTAAGACGAAATAATCAACTAATCCTTATAGTGCTAGCGAGTTTTTAACTTTTTAACTTTCTCCCTAAAGTAACAATTTCTCTATTTCCCCTCTTAAACTATGTGTACATATTCAATGTGGTCATTTTGTGAGCTTATAGTTAAATATTTAACAGATCAATGACGTGACAATATAAATACATATATTTTCGTATTTTTTATGAGTTTTTATTCTCTCAATCCAAAAAAAATTGCAACGGCTTTTCTACAAAAAATGTCTACTCTTTATCCCTTTTTTTAATTGAAAATTTATTTTTTGGATTGTACAAAATACAAAATTGCAAAAAGAGATAGTGTCTCATGATTGGTCAGCTAAATATTTGACGATGGGCTAAGAAAATGATCACATTGAGCACATATACATAGTTTAGGGGGGGAATAGCAAAATTGATACTTTAAGAGAGAAGCTGGGATTTCACCAATACTTTAATAAGAAAGACCTGATTATTTTGTTGAAGATAATAACGAATGAGAGAAAATGCTTGAAGATTCTTTTTTTTTATTTACTAGTATAGTGCACGTGCGTTGCACGTAGGCATTTATATTTGATTTATGTTCTAATTTTTAAATTTATAGTGATATATTAAATATTACACATATTTGTAAAATAAATATAATTTTAAATAATAGAAACATACTATTTTAATTAGTACTTAACTCAAATCCTACTATACCCTTAACTATTCAATTTATTTCTAATTGATAACTAATCTTAAATTTGACATTAATTAATAATTTAATTAATATTAATAGGGAGTAGGAACAAAATTAGTTCTTGTTCTAATAATATAGTACTGATATATAAATAATATAACAATAGAGAGATGAAATATACAGAAAGTGTATAGTGAAAGTTAAATTAAAATTAATGAAATCTCATGTTTATTACAAACTCTCAAAGGAGCTTGGCCACTTGTTCCTAATTTCAAATTAACTTATTAATTGAGGAGCATAATAGCAATTTCAATACTTTGAGGGTCTAATTCAAAATAGCTTAGGGGAGGAACTTGATATTAATTTTCTGATTTGAGGTACTTCAGAATATCAAAGATTTAATGAATTGAAGGATTAATTTCAGAATATCAAAGATTTAAGGAACTAATGTCGTAAAAAGTCTATTATTTTTGCAATTTTTAATTTGTATTTGTAAACTATTTAATACTATTTTCTAATAAGAATATTAAATTTTAAAATATTAACAAATATGTTAATAGTCCTAATAATTTATTTATTTTATATTCACTATTAAATAATCTATTGAATTGATGCGGTACAAATCCACAACAACCCTTATATGTCAATGTCCACCCAACTTAATATTGGAAGCTCACCAAATTAACCATACATGAAAAGAAACAAAACAAAACAATCAAAATATTTGTTTAATTGCAACCCAATAATTGAGCAACTTTCTATCAAAAAGAAACAAAACAAAACAATCAAAATATTTGTTTAATTGCAACCCAATAATTGAGCAACTTTCTATCAATACAACAACAAACAAACACATCATATTTAACCTTAAATTGGATAATATTCATACATTCATACATGCACGACCATATAATGGACACCGGTAGCGACCCTTCCCCCTTGACCACCACCACCTCCATTGCCCCCACAACAGACCCTATCTCCATTCCCCGCTCCACCGGTGTTTCTCCTAACCCATCTTCTCTGCCTCCTTCGAGCATTACCTCCGGCTCCACCATCGAACCACTACCTTCCATTGATTCTTCCATCGGCACCACCTTCACCAAAGCCTCCACCACTACTGTCAAGTTTGGCCACCAAGGAAATCTACTTAATAAATTTAGTTGGTAACTATTATAATATTTCACTTCTAATTTCTTATTTACATTGTCAGAGTAAAGGAGAATGAATAGCAAGGAGGAAGAGAAGAAAATTACTTACTCATTTTAGTTGGTAAGGAGAATGAATAGCAAGGAGGAAGAGAAGAAAATTACTTACTCATTTTAGTTGGTAATCTTGAGTGAATGAATAGCAAGGAGGAAGAGAAGAAAATTACTTACTCATTTTAGTTGGTAATCTTGAGTGAGCCTTGCTATGAGTGTTGGGGAGGAAGAGAAGAAAATTACTTACTCATTTTAGTTGGTAATCTTGAGTGAGCCTTGCTATGAGTGTTGGGGATGGAGAGAGGGTTATCTAGCCCTTAAATGAAATAGACGTCATTGAAGGAGTTTTTTATCATTAATTGGACCACTGAATTTTTCTTGAGGTTACCAACTATACTACTAATGAACCCCTCTTCAAATCCTACTTTCATGTGAAAATGACTGTTACATTTTACTTTTCATATATAAAAGTAACAATAATAGTATGAATTGAAAAGACTTGTGAAATAGTGGAGAGAGTGGATGGAGGAGATCATTTAAGATATTAAATGTAGAGAATAAAGGTATTTAATTAAGAAAACTATTAATAAGATAACTATTAAAAATTATTATTTTTTTATTTTAAGTATGCATGTATGTTCATGTATATATGTGTTGTACGTAAATATGCATGTATTTTGGAGGATGTATGTATGTGTTTTATTTATGTATGCATGTGTTTTGGAGGGTACTTTGGGAAGAAATGTTTTAACATGGCAACCCACTTTTATAATAGTATTAGATTAGATTAGATAGATTACCAATTATGAACGTGTCGATAATTGCGGACCCCACTTATTGATTGTACACATTTAGATGAATAGTTAATTAATTGATGCCTTATCTATGCATGTGCCCTTTCCCCTATCGCTCCAACCCCCGCGCACCCCTCCCCCTTGCGTCTTCAACTGTGATTCTTCCGTTTCTCAACCACTGAGAAACGGATGAATCCCTCTCCCGCTCCACCCACCCGCCCCCCTCCATCTCTTCATCTCCAATTCTTTCGATTCTTCCGTTTCTTCATATCCGATTCTTCCGTTTCTCAACCCCCTCCCCCTTCGCCTCTTCCTCTCTGATTCTTCCAATTCTTTCATTTCTCCACCCCTTATGGTTGTATAAATAACGTAGGGCTTCGATTTTGATGGAGCAAAGACGACGTTTATTTTTAATTGTAAGTTGTGGTTATTCCTATTATTGTTATCATTGCTATTTCCTTATTCTTATTTCTTACTCTTTGGTTGCTGGTTGATTGGTTCATGACATACCTTCTTTCTTGTATTGATGATTGATAATGTCAAAAATCTGATGTTGATAGGAGGAGTACAAAGCTATCAAGGTAAATTTATTTTTTTTGTTATCTCTATTATCTCGAGTTTTTTTTACTTATTGCTGAGAAAATGAATTTTTAGATGACATTTATAATTTTTTTGGTGATAATCCTGCATGATAAACTAAATGGTTCAGTTAACAAATTTTTGCTGGTTATGATGTTTTTTGTCCTTTGCGGTTCAAGTTTCAAGTTTTCCGACCTATATTCATTATTTTTAGCATTGTAATAAAGGATTACAGATTTACTGCATCTACTTAGTCTCTTGCAAGCTCATATTTATTTCTTATTGATAGAAAAAGTACGAGACTATCATATCATATACTCTTTAAAAACACGAGTTTGGAAAAATCTTTCTATGGTCAATATTACCCTTCACTATTTTAAATATTTTATTTATATCTTAATCTATCTTAATTATAATTATATCATATCCTAATCCTATGTGAACTATCTATAGCTTAACAATTTAAAAAAATAATATTAATAAAATATATAAAATATCTTTATAGTATTAGTTTGTTAAGATAAAGAAATTATATGTAGCTAACGTACTATAATATATAAAGTATTGCAAAAAAAACTAAAAAGTTTAAAAATCACACAAAATACCCTGAAAAGTTTAAAATTATAAAAACTATCTCGACGTCTAAAAATTTAAAACAAAAAACATGAAATTAAGAAATTAATAGCAGTTTGTGAAGAATTTAAAATTTACGGTTAACATCTTAATATCTCAAAATTATAGAAAATCCTCAAAAAAGTTCAAATTACAAACAGACACCTGAAATTCTAAAATTTTAAAACTTGCAAACAACATAGATGAATTCAAGGGAATACTATAATGCACTTGAAAATTTCTGATATTTCAAAACTTAAAACAACAAACATAAAATCAAGAAATTAACAGTAGCCTCCGAAGAATTTAAAATTTTAATTAACACCCTCAATGTCCCAAAAATTATAGAAACACCCTCAAACGTCTAAATTATAAAAAAAAACCCTAAAATTTTTTAAAAAAATCATATTTATAAATAACAAAAGATGAATTCAAGAGATTACCCTCATGCACATAAAAATTTAAAATTTGTCGAAATTAACCTCAAAGTTACAAAAGTTGTAGAAAAAACTATTTCAAAATTTAAAAATCACAAAAAACTCTAATTTTTTAAAATTTATAACCAGTACACATCAAATCTAAAAACTATTGGTAGATCACTAAAATTTAAATTTTTAAAAAATTAATCTATAATTTTAATAATTACTAAAAGCAGCCTCAAATTTTCAGAGTTGTAAGAAATATCATGACATTTAAAATATACCACCGACACATGAAACATTAAAGTTAAAACTACCAAACTTAAAAGTAATTTTTTAAAAATTCTCCCAAAGTTTTAAAAATTACAAATCACACCCTCAAAGTTCAAAACCACAAAAAGGGCTGGCATTTTAAAACTTTTTATCTTATATATATATATATATATATATATTCATTCTAATTTTAGGGTTTACTATCCATTTTCAGTATCTAAAGATAGTCTAAGTTAATATTGGTAAACAAAAGCAATAAGAATTGATTAAAAATATCCGGTTAAGGAATAGAAATTTAAAAAATATTATAGCTTAAAAATTATCATCGCCATATAAATTAAAGCAACTACATAAAATTTTACTAATAAGTTGGAGCAGCAAAACACATTAGTAATATTAATTGATAGATGTTTAAATCCATAAAAATTATAAAAGACTATAATATAATAGCTCAACATTAATTGATTATAATTTAGAAACATTAATCTCTGATGTTAATAATATTTATAGGGTAAAAGAATATAATAAATTATGTATGGAGAAACTATCAGAATGTTCAAAGATATCCTTAAAAAAAATCAAACTATTTCCATTGTAAATGAGAAAGTGATGGAAATAAATCTAAAATTCAGAAAACGTCCATAAATCATTTGAATTGGTATTAACATAAGGCATGTCTATTAAAGAAGCACTAACTGAGTTACATTGAAGAATAATTTAATAATTCCTTGTATTTTTTACTCTATAAATATTATTAACATCAGAGGTGAATGTTTATACATTATAATCAATTAAAGCTAACTTATTATATTATAGTCTTTTGTTAGTTTTATGCAATTTAGTCTTATATCAATTAATGTTATTACTAATATTATATGTAGTTCCTTAAATTTATACGGTAATATTAATTTTTAATCTGTCATATATTTTTTAAATTTTTATTCCTTAACTGGATAGTTTTAATCTATCGTAATTGTTATCTTTTACCAGCGTCAACTTAGACTACTTTTAGATGCTAAAAAGGGATGATAAACTTTAAATTGAAACTTAAATTTATCTACTTTTAGATGCTAAAAAGGGATGATAAACTTTAAATTGAAACTTAAATTTATATATCTTAATGAAATGATATCAAACATTTACTCTTTGAAACTTAAATTTATATATCTTAATGAAATGATATCAAACATTTACTCTTTTCTTTGCCAAATTTTAGCATTTTATGATTTTAAACTTTTGAGGGTGTGTTTTGTAATTTTTTAACTTTATTGTTATTTTTTAAAAAAATTTAAATTTTATGTTGTGTGCTTGTAATTTTTATGTTTTATGAGTTGGTGGTAAGTTTTCAAATGTTAAGATGTTTCTTTCAACTCTGGAATTTTGACCTTGTTTTTTACAATTACTAAAACTTTGAGTTGTACAATTTTAGAAATATTGAGGGTATAATTGCAATTTTTAAATTCTTCGGGGACTGTTTTTAATTTTTAGATTTCATGTTTGTTGTTTTAAGTTTTAAAAAGTCAGGGTGTTTTGGGTAATTTTGATCTTTTAAGATATTTTGTGTGATTTAAATCTTAATCTTATTTTTTTTAAATTGCTGAGCTATAGATAGTTCATGTGGGGTTAATAGTTCATGTGGGGTTAATATAGGATATAATTAGTATTTAGATAGATTAATATTTAAATAAAAAAATTAAAATAATATTTCACGTAGTTTGTTAATCTTTTTTTTTAAATTGTTGAGCTATAGATAGTTCCTATGGGATTAGATAAGATTAATTAGAATTACAAAAGATTAAAATTTAAATGTAATATTTAAAATAGTAAATAGTAATATTGACCATAGAAAGATTTTCCTGAACTTGTGCTTTTAAAGGGAGTATGATACATCTTTGAATTACTTTATACAATTATCATTATGCAACTTTATAAGATTAATAATCATTTTAATAGAGTTAGAATTAAGTTACTTAGTTGTGCTATATATTGGCTCAAAAAAAAAAATTGTGCTATACATTTGAAACCTGAAATATGCAACCTTTTGGCTTTTGAAAAGAAAAAAGATCACTGTTCTTAGCTCAAGTTCATATTGTTAATTTTCTCCGATGTTGACCTCTTAAAATTTAGCAATCAACTCGAAACTTATATTGTCTGCACTCATTTGAAGAGAATCTTTTTGACATGAAAAGAATTTGAGAACTCTAAGAAA